CAGCCTACCTAAGGATATTTCAACTTACATGCGTATAGATTGTCCATTATGAAAATGGATAGAATGCAGAATCGCAACAAAGAAAGACATTTTTCATGCATGAATCATGTATTCTTTGTTTTTATCCTTTTTTTCAGCTTCGCCCAAACCCGATACTGCATGATTGCAATGTCGTTGCTTACCAAAGAGCTCACCAGGAGCGGCTGAGCGATCGACGCACTCAGTATCGATCTGACAGGGCCGTGGATAGCCGAAGGGTATCACCAAGCAATGAAAAAAAGTTACTTGATCGAATGAAAGAAAAAAGATACACAATTGCTGGTGAAGATGAAAGTCCTCGTAAAAACGATCATTCCATGGCTAGGCCAGCGAGTCTAGGGCGAAGCAGATCACAAGGGCAAATTTGTGATGATCAATACGAAGAGGCGAAATCTGGCAAGAAATCACACTTTAAAAGCAAGGTTTTGAAGCACTTATTTAAGGTAGGCTGCAAACATTTTGGTGCTTCAATGAAGAGTACTACTTGGAAAGTATGCGCCCAAACTCAATAAGATATTTAAATTACGAAATATGAATGCTTTTTAAATATCCTTTATACGCCTTGTTATTTTGCATGACTACACAGGGAAGGAATTTGGTTTCGTTTTTGGCGACGCGTAAATTAAGGTGTAATATTTCTTAGAAAGCTTTCAACTGCTCCATGATTTCCCAAAATTTCATGCCATTGCCTCTACTGAGATGCATCAGTTACTCGAGACAATTCGTTTTGCCTACAGAAAGGTTTTCGAAATTTATCACTTCAAAGGTGGACTAGCAAGGTTACCTGACATGCCTACAGACTCATATTTGTAGAGTTATTCTACTGTCTTATCCTGAAGGACACCACGCTGAGTAGAGAACACACTCGAAAAATGTTGGCTTGGTCAATGAAATTGTTTTTCTTCAAGCAATAATCTTCTACTCCAAAAATACCACGGCTGTGCAAGCCTTCTAGAATTTGAATAACGTTCCAGACCATTTAGTTAAAAATAGCTCTGTGGTTAGTCTCATGTCTGAAATAATGAAAAGCAATTTTTTTGGAAGTGAGATAAGAGCACGCCGCAACATTTGCTGTGCTATTGGTCCCAATTATAGCCTTCTTCAAGCATTTGATTTTGTACGCGTTTCAGAGCAAAAAGTCATTTGTTGTGTCGGATTTCCCAGGAAAGGGGTACATAAAAGACCACTGGTCTCATATCAACATAGTTGTAATGTTGACCAATAACCTGTCTATTTCAAAGAGGCCAAAACCATTTACTTTCGTTCCCACCCTACATCAATTTTCATTTGATAGCCTGTATGATCGCTATTCCCGCAATTTCCTTATAGAGTATGATTGACATAATCAAAGTTAGCCTACAAAAAGGTTGGTTTTTGCACTGGCTCAGCTCTGACATTATACTACTTCGACAATCTCCTGAGTAAGATAAGCGTGTTACTTTCCTTAAGTATTTTCCCTTCCTAGTCCAGGAAACCTTAATGTCGAATTGGTGGACACCATACAGCAACCGCCAAAATAGACATGTACATTTTGTCTTTATTTTGCCACTGTTTTCTGATCGAAATCTGGTAACGTGACTTGGAATTTTATGGCAGTTTGTAGCTAGCTACAGAAAGACCCATTGGTTGGTGGCTAAGCGAAGCCGTAATTTTTTGTTCTTTTCAGCATTATTGGCACTAGTTTTTATTATAATTTCATATATAGAAATCAGTTACCGTATCTTATTACGTCTTCAGCGTTTGTATTTCAGCCGACCTCTGTTATACATCTACGTGTAAGTGAGCGTCAAAATTAAGATTGATTGCTTCTCTCAGAGCGGCTAATTTCTGCGGATATAAAATCTATGCCTGGAGGTGACTCATTTAGTTTCTTGTGATCGACAAACGCAGTCAATAAACTTAAAGTTGGTATTACCATATTTGTTTCTATTTTAATAGGATCCGGTGCTCATGAAATTTTGACCTTGAAATAAATGAACTCACGTCCCACTCCTATTGGAACTGTTCCTCGGGGAATATCCCTAGTTTTGCTGGGATACGAATTCCAGGAGGGCCAGTTAACGACTCTGGAATAGTTACAAGAAGACAGCATACGGAATTTATGAATGAGAGAGATGCCGAGAGGGTTCTACAAATCCCACAGTCATTTACAAACAGCCTAGGCTACTTAGAAACAAAAATTCTCGGGTATGTGTCATGTGTCCGTAGCGCCAATTAACCAGAGACTCTGACAGGCAGCACAGTTGATCGACTATGGGGTGGTCTTTTGAAATATCCAGCAGTTCACTCCGTTAGTTGCATTAACATCGGTTCATGTGAAGTTAACCGCATGACTGTTATTATAGAGATACACTCATTTGCAAATCAAGAGACTCAACTAAATCTCTCGTTTGTTATATTCTTCAACTGAATCTGCTGCACACAGGCCGTCTCATGATTCAGTTAGCACGATATTCGAGATATCCAGGATATTTTCGTAAAGGAATCTACTCACAAGGTTGCTGAAAACTCTTCGACAGCCCACGATCGGTTCTGCCCTTCTTGGTGCTCATCAGGTAGGCGCAGTTCCCGAATTTCCGTCGACCTTATGTTCTACTTGAATTGAAATTGGCTGTTTTTCGAGAAATCCACTGAGTTAAAAACCAATTTGGTTTTCACGAGTGACTCAACTAAATCCCTTGTGGCTGTCGTGGGCTGTCGGAGAGTTTTCAGCAACCTGGTGAGTAGTTTCCTTTACGTGTGTGCTGTTCTTCATTTAATTACAATCTAACGGAATTACTGCCATGCTGAATGATGAGTGCATCAGTCTTATCCATGTGTCCGAGGATGACTAAGAGATTTGATAATTTCCAACAAGAACAGAATATATGTCACTGGTTTCTTGACTTTCTACCATGGTTACAAGATGTTAAACAATGACCTGTGCCTTTTTCACTTGCCTATTGGTTTGTGACGACTTCTTTAAAATCCCGATAATAGCAGTCGAGAAGATCAATTATTCAGACCGTCAGACAGAGTTTGTTAGTGCCAGTCTTAGCCGCAATTCAGATAAGCCAAAATCTACACCATAATAAACCCAAATTCTCGGTGGACCGTGCCCAACAGAACCTAAGTGTAAACAGAGAAAGACCGCTCTTTGGTGGCAAATGGAAACTTGATTTATAAAGATTGAAACAAACGAAAGTGCTGCTATTTCCAAGGTATATCGTTCTCAACTATGTACAATAATGAAACATTTCCCCACCTATTTCAAGTGTCTGTGACACTAAGTTGCTGTGAGTCCATATCAGCTAGGCGCAGTGACTGATATTTAGGGCGTTGACCATGCTAGCTTGTCAAACCGCTTAGACTGAGTCCTGAAAAAATGTTTGCTCACTGAAATTTGATAATTCACATACATTCATCGTACACCAGAGAAGCAAAGTAAACACATCTCACATTTTACATTTTTCGCGGTTGAAATCCTGGTACCAACAGGTTTCTACAGGGCTGATGAGATCTAACTTGAGCAGAGTGCTTGCGCCTCCCAGGATATTTTCGTAAAGGAATCTACTCACAAGGTTGCTGAAAACTCTTCGACAGCCCACGATCGGTTCTGCCCTTCTTGGTGCTCATCAGGTAGGCGCAGTTCCCGAATTTCCGTCGACCTTATGTTCTACTTGAATTGAAATTGGCTGTTTTTCGAGAAATCCACTGAGTTAAAAACCAATTTGGTTTTCACGAGTGACTCAACTAAATCCCTTGTGGCTGTCGTGGGCTGTCGGAGAGTTTTCAGCAACCTGGTGAGTAGTTTCCTTTACGTGTGTGCTGTTCTTCATTTAATTACAATCTAACGGAATTACTGCCATGCTGAATGATGAGTGCATCAGTCTTATCCATGTGTCCGAGGATGACTAAGAGATTTGATAATTTCCAACAAGAACAGAATATATGTCACTGGTTTCTTGACTTTCTACCATGGTTACAAGATGTTAAACAATGACCTGTGCCTTTTTCACTTGCCTATTGGTTTGTGACGACTTCTTTAAAATCCCGATAATAGCAGTCGAGAAGATCAATTATTCAGACCGTCAGACAGAGTTTGTTAGTGCCAGTCTTAGCCGCAATTCAGATAAGCCAAAATCTACACCATAATAAACCCAAATTCTCGGTGGACCGTGCCCAACAGAACCTAAGTGTAAACAGAGAAAGACCGCTCTTTGGTGGCAAATGGAAACTTGATTTGTAAAGACTGAAACAAACGAAAGTGCTGCTATTTCCAAGGTATATCGTTCTCAACTATGTACAATAATGAAACATTTCCCCACCTATTTCAAGTGTCTGTGACACTAAGTTGCTGTGAGTCCATATCAGCTAGGCGCAGTGACTGATATTTAGGGCGTTGACCATGCTAGCTTGTCAAACCGCTTAGACTGAGTCCTGAAAAAATGTTTGCTCACTGAAATTTGATAATTCACATACATTCATCGTACACCAGAGAAGCAAAGTAAACACATCTCACATTTTACATTTTTCGCGGTTGAAATCCTGGTACCAACAGGTTTCTACAGGGCTGATGAGATCTAACTTGAGCAGAGTGCTTGCGCCTCCTGTGGTGGGAACTAACCACAGCATTCTGGAAAGAGTAGAAACAATTATTTCATGTGTAAAATGAACAAAATGATTTTGTTGTTCAGAAAACTGGAGGTTTGATTTGGTGCTGATCATACGTTTGTGACGCGCAGGTTCTTTTATCATGAAATCAGTGAGTGCATCGTTTGGTTGGCCACAATGTGACGAACTGTATATGAAAGTTGTTGTTAGTTGTTTTTCTTATTTTGCATTTCATAGCACCACTCTCTGGAACACATCAACGTGTATGCCTATCAGACTGAGATGGAGATTCAAGGAGAAGTTGAGTTTTCCATGGAGTATGAAGCAGCCGTTTCTAGGCTAGCTATTACGGTATACGAGGTCCGAAACCTGGCGACAGATGACAAAAACGCAGGCAAAACTCATCTGTAAGTTGTACAACAGAACGTCTTTGTGGGTCTGGTTAGAAGGAAAAATGGAGAAACCTGAAGGCGTTGTTCAAATGTCGGTTTGTTTGGCTTGTTTCACACCAACTGACGGGGTATCGTTAAGTTAAAAACTGTTCAAAGTACGTAGCACTTTTTGTGTACTGAGGTCCGTAAACCGACAAATCCTGCAATTCAAGAAGGGTTGCATTAGTAATTTTCACAAGGTTTGAGGGGTTTATACATTCCCTGATTATAACACACATTTCAAAACTACGTCTCCGGAGAAACGGAATCGAGCACACCGATCACTGCAACCATAATGCAAAGTTACAGCATTATGTTCTGCGAAATTAGCTACATTAACGAGGTGTTCAGAGTCGCCAGGACATCACATACTATCTAAGTCTGCCTGGAATTGCGAATCAGCCGGCCGATTGAGTATTCAGATCGGGCTGCTTACTACCAATGAATAGCCAGTCTCCTTCCCCGCAGACGAAGATAAATGAGGATAAGAGCACTCGTATAGTATAGGTTTTTCGAATCCATCCCACCTTTACCTGACACAAGGTTACGTTCCAGGCCTAAGGCACTGTAATTACCAGTTCCTCTGAATTGATCGATGACCATTAGGATGGAGCTTTTGGACCTACCGCAGATAGTAAGACAGCTGTTAGAATTGGTCAGTATCTGGTCAGATCAGGAATCACACATCAAAAGAAGTTTAGCAAGCTGGTTAATGGAGCTGTGCTCCAGATATCAAAGCCTGAATCTCTTAACCAGTGGAGTATGTGCACAACATGAACAGAAACGCGTACGATCACCGCTTCGCCTTGGGCTGCTTACATTCTTGAGTAATAGATCTGACATAAATCAGCCGAACTCCGGGGCAATGACATCGTGAAAACAAATATTGCTTATTGGAATGTTTTGGTTCTTGTCGAAATGCCTGCCAGAAGCATTTTCCAGAAGATTGAGCCTAGATTTCCTGTAGTGTAAACACTCTGATTCCTTTAATTTTCAAAGATGGACTACCCTTGTCATCTGGTCAAAAGTACTCCCGTCAATACCTAGAACATTTTCATCCTATTACACATACTTCGAAGTCAATGTCTCCCTTTACCACCCGATGACACTCTGTTTAAGTGTACTGTAGCAGAAAATCACCGTAGCAGATAGCTGGAATAGGGAGTGTGCTGTTGAGAATATCCGATACTCCTGCGCTCCCTCAGCTTTTTTATCCTTATTCACAGTTTCCCGGAGTTCAGCATCATACAACTAAAACGTTTTCTACCAGCTTTGTAATAATACTCTGTGCTGTTCTGAAAGTCCTATGAAAAAGTTAAGGAAACGCAAGCAACTAAAAAACGGAGGGAATAACATTTATTTGTAATAGATGGTAAAATATGGAGAAAGCAATTAAAGAAATACAAGTATTTTGAACTTATTTTGGTATCAACGAGAAACTGGACTGAATTTCTCAGCAATGTTGTATCTCAGTTGGATTCGCTGCATGATGGCCGTTTCATTATCCAAAATGTGGATGTTCCGTTCCTTAGTCGTAATGGTAGTGAAATGCCAAGTAGTTTTCAATTACCTTAGGTGTACAATGTTCTGTCAAGAAGAGGATGTTACCCTCAGGAGATATTCTTCGAACCGCGGGCGATTAAGTCCTGATGAGGGAAAGTCATAAACTGAGGCAAATGAATTATATGTAGTCCATATGAAATGGTAAAGATCATTCGGAAACCATGAAAAACCCCGTGTTGAATTGCGGATGCTTTTGGTTATTGGGCAGCTTAACATCAAGTACAAAGAACATGTGAGTACGATATGTTAGCTCAGATGAATTGTTTAGTGGGACACCCATAACGCCTGTTTAAACATCCCGTACATAAGCCCGAGTGTTGCGTTTGGATCAAGTTTTGCGCATCAAACACGAACTAAAATTCATACTCCAAAATAGCCCAACGGATCTCAAAAACAACGGTAAGGACTTGTGATGAGTTTTCTTTAACTAGCCATCGCAATAAAGCCACTTAGATATGGTTAATCTTTATGGTATGACCCTGGCTGAAAGTAGCTGTAGGCTGACTGCTTTATCATCATTCCAACCAGTCACTGGTGCAAATCTAAAGAAATTGAACCATAACATAACAACACGAATAAAAGCTATTCAAGGTAATTTTGTGTGCACCTGAGCCCTTGCACGTACTATATTCTCCATAGCTACTTTCTCCTTTGAGATCCAACCATAAAGGTGCAAAAAATGAGTAAGCACAGGGGACTGAAATTTACACCTCTGATTTAACCGCAAACAAGTTTGACGTTAAATTAGCCGCTTCTACGTTTAGGGCTGGTTCCCCGAAGATATAAACCAAAACGTTCATTCCCGAGAGCTCTTATGTTCTTTTTCTAATGCTACAGATACATGAAAGTCTTTTTGCAGCCATATCTCGAAAGTTCCACCATTAAGAGAATCAGCTACAAGGGAAACGATCAATCACCACAGTTCAACCAAGTAGTGTGGTATTCCGTGGCCCCATCCGAGTTAGCACGTTACACAGTTATCATGGAATTGTGGCAGAAGAGGAAGAAGAAGAACAAAAGAGGCAAGGTAGAAATATTTCTTGGGCAAGTTTCCATGCCGCTAAAGGACTATAAATGGAATGATACAAGCCGCAAACGAAAGCAACTGACAAACAAGGTACGTCCTGTTTTCATATGTGTGGGAAATCAGATAACGTTTGCCTATTAGAGACGAACTGTACAGCGAACAAGTCAGGTTTCGCATGCTTCATTTCAGACGGACATGACAACTCGGGTAATAGATGGTAGCAAACAAAATCGACTGATGTGCAGAAAATTTTGCACTTTTTCAATGACGGGTAGGATCCACAAAACCGTAGCCAGAAACTGTGTTTTTGAGCCAACAAGTTGTTATGGTGAATGGAGGAACAACGATGCAGTCAATCTTATGCTAGAGTGAACTGGTAGACGAACTGTAAGGCAAGGTAAATTTGGCTAGTGTAGTATACGTGACTTATTCTGGGGAGTTTAATTGAGTAACGCGCCAAATCACAAGCCAAGAATTACGAAATCCTGAGATTTATTAACAAAGTTCTGTACTACATGTACAAAATGTGTGTATGTAAAGAACACAGGCCTCAAATAAGGGGGGGTTGTCTAATTTTTGCACGAATTGGTGCAAGTCCAAAAAAGCCAGTAAGAACAGCAGATCTACGTAGGTTTTCGATGCCATTCACGTCATCCGATGTTGCTATTTCTTCCATTTCCCAACCTACAGTTATCCACTTTCTTCACATAAACTGATACATAAGATCTAATGCGCTTATTAGGCGAACTGCAGCGAAGCAGATTGACGAAAATATAAATTTTCGTACTTGTGAGAAGATTCGGGATTTTTGTGGAGATTTCGTTCTGTAAGTGGAGCCAGTCTATACTGAAAAGTCGAGAAGCACTGTACAGCTGTTTCATCGTTACTGAGAATCATCAGCAGTGCGCATCTCACGAAACTCCGGAGATTCTTGTAACCCGCGACCTCCTGGCTAGTAGTTTGAACATATAACCGCTCGGCCACGGGTGGCTGATCAGCAGTGTGGCTAACTCGTCCTTAGACAAGCTATAGAGCCGCTCATTCTTCAGTCACGGGATCCACATCACGCGGTCACACGTGTTTACCGGATCCTCCAGAAACGACTCCTCAGATGGAAGTTTCTTTCGTCGGGTTAAGTTTATTCTTCCACTGAACTACTGGAAAATTGTTGGTAGTGTGAGACGACTACGTATCATCCTCTTGATACTGTAGTTTATTCCTATGCGCAAACAAACAAACGGGGAAGTAGTCGGAGTGTCCACACTCGGTTGACGCTTGCAAAGTTACTTGCAGCCGGTCACTCATTTAGAACCCCAAGTTCTCTGCTGCAGTCGCGAACCAACTGTTCGACTGTTTTCTGATAGGTAGACTCACTGGCATACTTCACGAATAGTATTTATCCATCAAGTTGATCATTCGGAGATGTTCGCGCAAGTCTAATATGGATCCACGTTGTAGGAACTTAACAGTTCGTTGTCTTGGTGGGGGCTTGTGAAATGAACCTTCAGATCTTCAGAGCCATCGTGTCGATTTATGTCGCAACACTAGAGAAAGCAGCAAAGAAGAAAGCGAACCTTAACGACTTTTGATAAATTCAGCCTTAAAAAGTATGCTTGGCAATTTCGTCAGTTTATCATCGCTTTTGGCATGGTGTAATAGTTATCCAGTGGTCTTTCGAATTGCAGACGAGCAAAACAAGCCCGCGTATGCGGTAAATTACTTCTTTGCAGCAAACACTGATCCAGCTTATACAACTGGAGAGGGGGCCCGAAGAGCTTTGGCGAATCGGTCAGATTTCGGGGTTGGTCTCATTCGAGATAGGCCTCAGACAGGCCCACAAAAGATGCCGCAGGCTTAATTCTTTACCTTAATACGGAGTAAAAGTTCTCCAAGGCAATTTTTGATAGAGCACTGCTTATGAATCAGTGTAAGTCGAACTTTCGCATATGCAGTACGCCGGTCCATCTCCAAAGGAATCCGCGATGCATGGGTTATTCTCTGGTACGAGGGGTGGTCCACATTATCCTAAGCAAACTGTACAACTCTGAGAAAAATCATTATATTGGCTGTAAACGACTGGAAGACCCGGCACTAACGTCAGAGTATTGAGAGGTCCTAACCGAAGGCCAATGAGACGTGAAATTGCTAACCTATATCCTTAAAACATCATTAAAGATCACCATGCTCTGAAAATTGGCAAAAGTGACATTTCAGTTTTATCTACTTTCGGAACATATATTTCGTAGCTAAAAGTGAACAGCTGAATAGACGAAATAAAGTAATCCAGTCATCTTCCAATTGTAATGGGTTTTTCGGGGTGACTAACGATGACAAAAAATCCAATGATTCCAGTTTTTCACCGTCAAAGGCGCACAGCACCTGGATATGTATTGACCGTATGTAATATCTTCTTTTCAAATCATGGAAGCCGACAGATAATGCCGACCCCTCAATGTTAGATGCAGTGCCCAAGTTGGTCTTTTCACTTAGTGTTAATTGTCTTATGCATGCTTGATCATGGTGCTCTTGGATTCTTTTGCGTTTTTAAGCTAACAAACAACAGCGCAGCCAGCTCTACCCAAGCTGTTTGCTTTGTCTGACATATGCGCAGGTGTTCAGTTGCCTAGTAGTTGTTGACGGATAAATCCATATCGGTCCGGTGCCAGTTTGTGTTCCGGGCTCTGAAGAGGAGTTACCAATGTGTTGACTCCTGGTAGTGGGTGCCGTTTAAGAGAGACAAATTTTGGTCTCTTAAAAATCCGTTTCAATGGTGAAGTTGTTCCAAGAAACCAACCCCTAAGGGGACCAGTTTGGGTTGAAATTTAACATTGAAGGCGCTCACAGTATTGGGATACATTGGAGACACCACCGGCAACATGGCGATTTTCTAACAAACCTGTGCAAAGCGCTCGACAATAAGCTACCAGATGTGTCCGTTTAGATTGCTTTAGTTTTCATTTAATCATGTATATGACCTACGTAGTTGTACACTGGAACCCTTGTAAAAAGGAGCTTCACATTAAGTGAAAACAATTCGCACGGTGACGCTATGACTATAGTTGGAACTAGTAACACAAGCTGTGGTTTGATGATAATGGCACTTGCGCATATTATTCAAACTTACTTAACCAGCGCAAGAATTATGTAGCCATTAAAGTCGTGTATTCCATGGAGAAGAACCAACAGAACAAATTGTTCTAGTTTACCAAAAACTATTAAAACGTTTGGGCGAAGCACAAAAATAAGAGTGACTTTCATGCGATAACAGTGAGGCTACGTTTTCTCCTTTTAATCGCATATGGTATGCGTAACAGAAGTTCGTGTATGCAAACCCATGTGCATACGTGCGCAGAAGGGAGATTGTTTTAAGCTTTCGCCTTCACAGTTCTGAAAGAAACCCAATGTCAGACTGCGGGGCAATTTATCCAGACGTAAGCGAAATACACTCATTTACAAACAAATTTGGTTTCGCCAGAAGGCTCACCTGAAACCAGCTGAATCTCTCGTTTGAAGTGTTTCTAGGCAACAGCAGCACCAGACCGCCTCATGTTCCAGTTGTCACAATATTCAAGATATCGCGATGCATGTATATACGCAGTACTCCGCTTCTAAAGTTGCTGAAAATTCTTCGACAACCCTCGACCGTTTTCGCCCTTCAGGTAGGCGCAGTCCCCGAGTTCCCTCAACCGGACGTTCTCTTGAATCCGAATACAGGGATTTCAACGGTTGGAGCACCTTCGAGATGAAAATATACTGTACACCATTTGTCAGACGCCCCTAAATAGCGCAAGGGGTGTCATTGAAGTCGCATCAAATGCATCTGTGTTCATAAACTATATCTGTATGACGTTTGATAGATTTTCGCCGTGTTGTCTCCGGACCCATTTACGCCCATGCTCTACTCATATAATGTTACTACTGAACGCCAAATGCAGTAGTGTAGTTTTAATGCGTCTTCTTATCCAATTGAAAATGCTCCGATTTATTTTCGGGAGCACGTGCAATGAGAAGTAGGTGACTGCCACAAATGACATCAATAAAAAGGAAGCGCAACACTGGAAATGCACCGTAATATAATTCAACCAGGGACAAAACCTAACCTCTTTCATTCATCGGTCTGACATCAGGCTTATTCGGTTATTTCTACTATCAGAGGGTTCCAAATATACTTTTTGTGGTCTTAGATGGATTTGTGAACCAGATCTTTTGTTTCCTCGTAAAAGTTGTAGGTCTCACCGTTGCTGCTATTTTTCACTACAGAGTGCAATGGAAACTGACGAGGAACTCCCAACTTACGTGGGGGAAATAAAAATCGGTTTGAGGTTCGCTTTGTATGACAACTCTCAAGTAATGGCACGCAAAAAGAATGGAGATATGATGCTAGATGGAGATTTGGAAGTTCACATCTTGGAAGCAAAGAATCTCGTTTCGGAATTCGTTGGAACAAATGTCAACGCATTTACTAGAGCGTAAGTTTGGTAGGTGGATGTATAAATAGATAGGTTTTGTATTTGGACACTTACAAATGGGTCTTAACTCCAGGTCCTCTCTGTGTTTTTATTAGTTTAGAAACCTCTGTTTGAAGTCTTATTTTTCTGATCTCAATCATACAGATATCGCGATATAAACACATCACATAACATAACACCGGGAGGTACTGGCAAAGGTGGGAATGATAGTAATCCTAGTTCTTCTGCAGGACCACCCTGATGAGGCACCCGTATTCAGAGGTTGCATCATTCATATTCGAAAAAAAGCTTCAAACGGACAAAATCAAACGTCTGTAGGAGACAACAAACGTGCATACGATTAATTCAAAGGCTGCATTTTTGCGGGCTAAAGGTGGCCTTATATACGCCAGACGAATTGACAGGAGTCATGATAAGTGATAGGGAGAATGAGATTGTACGCACCCCTGGACAAAAAATAGTGGGACTCAGTGTTTTGGTGCTGCATCGTGACAGAAAAAAACAGTGTATACATCCTCACAAAGACTGCTTCAACGCGATTCGTCCAGAATAAGTTAAAGCATGAATTCACTACTAGAAAGTTGAAGCAGCCAGTATTAGCGAATACATAGATGCAATTGAAGGGACTCTTGGAGCGACGGTGGCCAGGCAACTATAAAGTTGTAGATTGGTGAGGTAGAAAGATCAGCTGAATCTATCTGAAGATACGAAACATGTAATAGTGGAAAATAGCGGAGTCCAGCATTAAGCCATCATTAAATTTAAGAATTTAACCGAGTCTGCCTCTCAAAGTCGTTATTATGGCTGTAGAATACTTCGACGTATTCAGGAAAGCCCACTTGAGTGACGCGCAAGCCAGAAATTGTGGATTTTTGAGATTTATCAAAAGTCGCGGTACTACATGTACGAAATACGTGATAAAAGTGGTGCAAACCTCTAAACCGTCTAAACTGTTGCGCGAAGTAGTGCAAGCCCAAAGAAAGCCCGGATAAGATCGTAAATCGATCGTATTTTACGACGCACGCCTGGGTACAACACATGGTAACGCAAAATGGTAAAAAAGCGCGCGTAACGGATGCCCGACCGAATTGGTTCGACAAAGGTTAAAAGTTCATGAGGAATTACACATGCATATCGAGTCTATGAGGTAGACGCAGTAAACAGCAACAGACAAAGGAAGAGTTTGACCGGGGTAAAGGAAGTACAATGGCTCTGTAAAATAACTAGGGATGAACCTGCTCATCGAAGATGAATCCAAGGAAGAGTTGACCGGGGTAAAGGAAGTACAATGGCTCTGTAAAATAACTAGGGATGAACCTGCTCATCGAAGATGAATCCTGTGCATTCATGACTGTCATCATTCAGCTACCAAGCTCACCTCCAGAGTTGCATTAACGTATTTGCAAACCGCTTTGAGAAATCCCAGTCCTCTCCACACTGGCAAGACGGGCTATAAAAACACATCACAGAAAAGGCCCTTCTAAAAATGGTTACTTTGAGTGACAAACACATATTATTATTATTATTATTGTGTTAGAAATTGGGACGTAGAAGTATCAAAAATTTTATATCGAATATTTAACGAATTAAATACCTAGCTAAATACAACTTCAAATTAAAGAAACAACAATCAACATTGTGCGATTTTACAAATGTACTTTAAAAGTAACTTGTTCGAGAACAGCGGTGACGAAACCCTGGGAAGAACGATATTTGCTTGATGGATTCTCGCTTTCTAGTGAGCTGATTGGGTTATGGGCCCCCTAATTCGCGTACAAAATGGTTTAATCTGGTAAAGGTCCGCTGATTACTTGAGTCCCAGCAAAGCTCCATCGAAATAAACAAACAAAAGGCTCGTATTATTGGTTATTAAAATTCCTTCATCCTGAAATTCAAAGAGCAAACGTCCGTACAGTTGTTATAAATTGGGTGTCTACTGACAGGTTAAAAAACGAAAACAATTTTTTATCGGAATGCATCCTGATTGAAAACTTTATCCGCTTGAAATGAACCGCCGATGTGGAGAAACTTTACATGCGATTAGCTCATAATTTTTGGTTCGTAAATCGCAGAAACATTCAGCTATGTATTGCTTTTGACCGGGTACGTCAATTATCATGAGTTAATGCTATCTCGCGTGAAGGATTAATTGATAGAACAATCGTTTCATTCCGTTGAATTCAGGGACCACTCCGAGTAAGGTTGATGGTGATCTGGTTGATTGTTTATCTCTCTACCGGTGTGGTTGTCATCCCAGCTAAAGAATAGCTACATACTGATTAGATTAGAAATTTTGCAAAAGGCTTTAGAATGGTTGATCGGATAGCTAAAACTGCATAAACATTATGTACATCATTAAGCTTGATGTGTTTCTTTCAACCCGCTTGCCTGAATGACTTTGTCACTGGCGCATCTGTTCAGCAGACAGAATGGAATTCTTTCCAGATTCAAGTAGTATTTGAAAAGCATGTGCCGATTGTGTCAACCTTTCACAATGTGCTGGTTCGACTTCGTTGACCATCCATCCAAAATATACATATCTAGGTAACAATAGTTTTCATATCAGCTGATAAGCGAGCCTCGGAGTCAGCGTTGTTGTAACTAAGTATCATACATTGAAACGGAGTATCACATGGCTAGCAGATCTCTACGCCGTGACAGACGTCTGAAGACGGCTAGATTACAACTCAGGCAAGCTGGAAACAGATACTCGCTGACATGCTTTGTTTTTGTCTGGAACACTCCATTCCTCTATCGAAGTCACTTTTTTATCGGAAAGGCCTACGCAAAACCTCAGGATATCTCATCGTAAGCGAGACTTGATGAATCTGAGGGGGAAGCCAGCAGATCCTCATTTTGCAGAAGGAACTAAGGTCATTCTTCTTATGAGTAACCCATAAAAGAGACCCTTTTTCAATTAAGCCAAAATCATGCATTCCTGGTCCAATTTATTTAAGATTTCGCGTCCCAAAAAAATCACTTGCCGGTCCCTATATATTTCGCTTGTTCGGTTTCCGACACCCGATTGACCATTCATAGAAATGCCGTCCACCTAAAAATTCTCTTGGGGGAACCCCGTAATTCAACAGCCTGTGGAAATACCGTTCTAAGGACAAAACTAGGACAGAAACTGCTTCTAATCTCTAGATAAACTGGCTGAGCTAGTCCAAATTAAAACCAGCAATCCCCTTTTTACCACATGCAACGTATAGATACATCATGGGTTTGTGCATTTCTACTTCCCAATTATCCAAGTGCACAAAAGCTGGAATACTTGCGTCAGTACATGAGTAAGTTTGGTCATACGAGAACCATATGAACAGGCGGTTCACACTGTGGATGACGAACGAAACTACTACTGTTTTATTTAACCAATAGCAGTCAGTGCTACAGGTCGTTTGTGTAGAACGTTTTCGTGCGATTCAGAAGGTTTAGGTTAACCATCAGTAGCAGTGTACGAATGGTGACTGTTGGCATTCACCTGTGAACAAAGGTGACGAGGGGAGTAGAGAGGCAAAGCCAGTGTAAAAAGCCTGATGTTTAACCAAAAAAATGAGAAAACGTTCGCGACAACACTGACGAAAAGCACCCTGCCATTACTTCGGAATAAGGTGCAGTGAAACAGTCTGCGTACCTTAAGTGACATATCAGCAGCGAAGAACCGCAGACAAAGTTTAGCTTGACGGTCCGTCTGGAAAGTGATATACTCATCATCGGAATGCTCTGTTATGTGAAACATTCTACCCTGTTTAAAAGGAATCATGCCAGCCTCATAGACAGTGGCTCACCTCAACAGGGCCTGTTGCATATCGCTTTATTACTTCATGGGCTACTCAAAAGTACAATTCTCCCTCGAGAAATGTGAACGAATGAATATAACAACTAATATGGTGTGATGGAGCCTGCACGTACTGAGCACCTTAATCCGATCAGTCTTATCCCTCGCATTATCGCTGCTTATTGGCTACCAAGTAGTGGTCACTCACCATTGACCTGCGGCCATACCATAACTTCGATGCCGCTAGAAAAATGTGTGAAGACAGTAAAGAAGGTTAATAGTCTTGCCATTTACTTTACTTTTGTTAGTGAGCACCTGTGCTGCACTTAAAGTTCAATTTCTACTACAGTGCTCAAAGCCTGTTATACCAGTATTCGGTAAGACGGCCTTGCAGCCATTTTAATTTGAGGAGGAGGTTAATTCTCCAACCTCAGCATGAACAGAGAATGTTTAAAAGTATGTAATATCAATTTTAGACCACCAGACAGTTTGCCATGACGTAAGTGTTGATTGAGAGATCACCTTAAAAGCAAGAAACGACATTAACGGAAAACATTTAAGTGAGTTCGAAGTACACACACTTTGCTCCAACTAAACAGCCATTATACGTAACTCACTACTCATAAGGCTGCTGCGACCAGGTTCGCCCTTATTGGGGCTCATCAGGTGGCGCAGTTTCCGAGTTTTCGTCAACCTTATGTTCCACTTGAAACCAAATTACACGAACTTAGCGAAATACACTCATTCACAAACAAACTTGGTTTTGTGAGAGAATTATATGGAACCCAGCTGAATCCCTCGTATGTAATGTTTTAGCAACCTTATAGTAGTTAAATGCGAATATACATGTGTCGCGGTATCTCGAATATTGTAGCATCATGAGGCGTTCTGATGCGGCGCATTGAGTTGCCTGGAAACATCCTAAACGAGAGATTCAGCTTTGTCCTAAGTGAGTCTCTCGCAAAACCAGATTTGTTTGCAGTTGAGTGTATGTCGCTAAACAACCATTACTTATTCCCAAAGTCAAAGACCTTTCAGTAAACGTGCACTTCATTCACTTCACAGGACAAATTTAGCCAAAGGTCAGAAAGCATTTTGTCTAAAATAGTAATCTATGGAAGCCGTGCACATATGCGTAAAAGTTTTTCCTTAATGCTGGATACTAAAGAGAACTTCCGAAGTGATGCCGGCAGAGAAGTCATGTTCCCGATGATCGCCGTTTTAGGGGGAAAAACACAGGTCAGAGGTTTGCTTTTTTCGATAGACATTTTATGCGGTGAGTGAAGCCAATCCGTACTAGAACTTCGAGAGGCACTGGAGGGCTGTTTCGTCTCTATTTGGAATCACCGGTAGTGCGCTTCTCGCAAAATGCCAGAGAGTTTAGAACCCAGGACGCCACTGTTAGTTTGGACGCATAATAGTTCAGCCACGTGTGACTGATAAGCAACACCATTAACTAGCACTTAAGTGGTATACAGCACCACTCATCCTTCAACCACGGGAATCCCATCACATGATCACACGTGTTGACTGGCCAGTCGATCGACGACATCTCAGATGTAAGTTTCACCCATCGGATGAGCTACTAATAGACTGTTGGTAGCGTGAAGAGATTATGGCGTTTCAAGGGGTATTTTGATTTGTGAGTTTAAGAAGAGAGAATAAATTTCTTCCGATGAATGAAACCGCCGTATGAGAATTGTTTGCTCAAGTAGCCAATGAACGCGGGGGACTTAGCAATATAAGTGCAAGTTGATCACGCTACTGATTAGACCGTCGTAGCCAAACCATTAAGTGTTCCAGCTGGGAGTTTACAGATTCGGGAGTGCGCCCTGCTATGAGGATAAAACAGCTCGACAGTGCTTCTCGACTTTTCAGCATAGATTGGCTTTGATCACCGGATAAAATCTCCATTAGAATTCCTTAATCTCCTTACACCACCAACAGTGATTTGGTCATCTTGACATGTGCAGCGTTTTGTGTTAATCATGAAGGTGGAATAAATACCAAGTTGATAGTGTACGCAGTTAAGTCAGTGAATCAACTGAAATTTATGTGGGATAAAATGGGTTGACAAACAGACTGGTTGTTTCCGTTGCCTAAAATACCCTCGCTCATTTCAGTTATCCATGTGGTTAATTTAACTATCATTCATAAGTTCCCATTTGGTATTGTACAATCCATTTTTCCATGTGTATTGGTGAATAATTGGGTTCACGTTAGTTTCGGGCCTCCTGACACATTTTTATCTTCCATTCCAAGTTCCTTAGTGTCGAAACACAAAGAGTTCGAAAGTTACACAACGGAGAGCATACCCAAAACAAACAATCCCAAATGGAACACGGTTATTCGCTTCAAGGAAGTAATTCAACAGGATTTGTTGAATTTAGCGCTGGAATTGTTGGTAATGCACCGAATCATCGGGAGGAAGGGTGATCATGTTCTGGGCGGGATACGTTTGTGTGTACCGTCAAGTAAGTTTATGGTCTGTGTTAACTGAACACATCCAAATAGGTTGAATTGTGATCCTAACTTCGCAAATCTTTGTCGGTTTTGGAATAACATGTAATTTTTGCGTAAAGTAAATAGAAATGAACTTTCAGTCAAACGCACAATCATGAGGATATGTGTGAACCAAATAGACGTACGTTCTCAGGAACTACTTAGACAACTCGAACGTAAACAGCAACAATCAGGTTTCTCGATTTGTTAGGTGAGTGCACTCAAGGGGACTGACTGATTGATAGGTACAAACGCACACCTGCAGTCATATGATACCATGTTATCGCACTGTCCTCGGTCATCTCCGTCATTAATAGTAAATACGACTAAAGGGCGGTTTCATCTCGCTTGCTGATCACGGATCAAGGCTGCACAGGCCTTCATATGGCAGAGAATACTAACCGCTACTCAGAATGATTGGCAGTTTGCTAAACTGTGACGGACCTTTTTTCATCGGACAAAAAAACTTCATCAGTGCCTAAACCTTACGCCATTTTGAGGTTAAAAAAAAGCAACTAAAGGCTGGTTCTCTGTTTCGGTCACTGTAAGCAAAAGCATCTCACATGCATTACCATTAATTGTCGTTCCTACTTTGAGTAATGGCGGTGATGTTTTGTAACTAATTTTCTTTCACTGTAATGTGCTTTTCATTTGGGCACCCTAAGAAAAACCTATTTAGATGACTGGATAGTGTCCATCTTGTGCCTAATGGCTGCTGACCGTTTTAAATGGTAAACGGCACTAAAGCCAACAGAACACACAGTTAGCGAGCATTTAGAATCCACATGCGCATGTGACTGAATACTTGCACTCCGGCAGCATGATTCGGTTCACTTTCATGCCACAGGTGTTCCTACGTCAAATTAGGGACCACAGTTAAATGTGCAGTGACCTAGGTTTTTCAACGTACTACTGTAAAGCCGACCTTTACTGACTCACAAAAAGGGGGAGCCCTTGTAAGCACTTCAAGCAGAGCTGAAGTATGAAGTGACAAAAAAGGCACCCATATAGTTTTCTCACCCATGGACAAAGCCTCAGTTGTATGCATAACACAGTCAGCAATTTTATTATTTTCACGTAACCAGTCCTTCTCTTCCAGTGGCAATCACACCGGCACTTAGCACTGACGTACCCTTGTAGTTGAAGCTAACGAAGCTGTCGCATAGAACTTGGGTGCTACTATCTGCAGTGCCTTGCAATTTCAAAGTCTAAGTTCAAGGATCAAATTATCCAAATTGCATAAGATAATCATTAACTTCGGCTCCTCAAAAATCCCCTGGTCTTTGGAAAGGTCGCATTTATGTTGCTCACACTGTGAGCACTGCGTTTAGCGCTGCAGTCAGAAACATTTATATGACTGTTCTTCCCTACCGGTACCCATGTATTCACCAGTTTTCGCTCTCAGTAATGAATTGTTATCAACACCTTCCGCCTGGTAGAAGTGAATTTAACATAAGCGCAGTTTGGTTGCGCTTTCGGGATAATCACTCGGTGTCGTTCGTCTGTATGATTTCGGAGGACCGTTAAAATGTTTCTAGAGACGACAGATATTTAATATGTTCCTAGATCTTGAATGTGTCCCACAGTATTGGCCAGTAGAGTCTTCGTAAATTAAGCAGGAAACACTATTTCAGCACAGAACCTAATGGTGAGTTGTGTGATAAGACACCTGGGAAATTTTTGGCTAAGTGGAAAGAGGAAACAGAGAATGACCTTAAAAGTTCTTATAACAATAATATGGGGGTCAGAATTTTAGACTGATGCGGCAGTGGTTGACTGAAACTCGCACAGGAGTCTGTGGCTTATGGTACTCAACGAAGCACGACGAGTTTTCGCAGCAACAGACTTAAACAAATCAGTCTCTGGTAGCCTCCCCCTGGTGAGCATTTTCCCTACCTATCTTAAACCGTTGGAAAAACAGCCTGCCTATTACGCTTTGCTGAAGCGGCGTCACTTCGGTGCAACAAACTGATTTTGTGTACAAAGTCGGAATTCGTGGCGATCCTCGCCTTGTCTTAGCATGAACGTCACTAAATAATGTCCACGGTTCTAACACTTTTATTTTCTCACGACAAATGGAAAAATTCAATCTATTTACCTCAGACTGATACAGACATCACACGACAGCATAATGAGTGATTAGATTCGACAGCATTCAAGGCAAAGCACAAGTTGCTTTAATAGAAGGACAAGTTTGGTGCATACTACAGAATTGGCAGCGCATGTACATAGTGATTGGTAGAAACGACTTGATTACTTCCTTATTGTGACCAATGACCTAATATGTTGAGAATTCCATGTTTATCCCAGATGGTGGTATCAACAAGACTGTTTAACCAATCATTCAAATGATCTATTTGATTAATTCCAATAAGCTGACTCAGTATGCTGATGCAACGGAGTAGTGAACGAAAGGAATTAATACAGTAATTACATCCGTGACTTCAGAAGAATAGCCCTACACTCCCATAATATTGCTGCTTTACAGCTATTACGGAGGCTGATAAGGTTATTTGATCGATTGGCTGTGTTTTAGTGAGCTGCCCATCAAATTTTTCATTAGCATGCTTTTTCGTTTGCTGCTGAGACCCTGGGTTTGCATGACTCACTGTGATATATGATCATTATGTTCCACAACGTTGTTTATTTTCGTCGAACCGATCCATTAGTGTACTAATGTGTTACTCGTTACGGCAAACACGTCCACTGAAACCGAATGGGACACTCCTCGTAAAGTAATCATGTAATGATATATTGTTCCCAGGAGAGGATTGAAAGTTGACAGTTTGCTGGAGAGAGGATCGAGATGTAAAACTACAAAGGACTTGCGTAATAGTGTAAAATCTGTAGGTTACCTCTTAAGAAGCCACCTTAATATGCTTGACTAAATGCTTCGTAGCAAACATCTGTGATGACGTGTAGCGCTGCAGCGGCAAGAATAAACATGAAATGATGTGCCGTTAGTGATAAAAAATAAGGACAAATCAGCGTCCGGGAAGAAAAATAATGAACCAGCGTCCGGTGACATCATTATTGACCTTCCCATATTTGCCCAACCGTAAAATGGCTTGAACAAAAAGTCGACTAACAACAGATTCTGAAACATGAGACAATAGACCATGCCTGTAGTGGACAGTTTTATGCATAATCACCCCGTTTGGCTTGCTTTCTCATGCAAATTATTTTCAAAGCACCGCAAATTAGTTGATTTATGGCTTTCGGTTTTCTTTTAGAGAAAAATGACTAAAAATGACCGAAGTAGACGAGGTATGTACGAGAGTATAAATGCCACAAAACACTTTTACGTATCCATTTTTACTGAGAAGAAAGGCAAAAAAATCCTTTCTACTGGTCAGTAATAATTCATACAGATGGGTGCAAAGTCACTGCCCGAAGAAGGTAACACAGCACAAGANTTTTTACTGAAAGAAAGGCAAAAAAAACCTTTCTACTGGTCAGTAATAATTCATACAGATGGGTGCAAAGTCACTGCCTGAAGAAGGTAACACAGCACAAGACGTTTTCCGGGTTAAAAATATTCCCTCACGAGAGGAGGTGATCAATAGTGATTTATTACAACCTTCAATGCAATGTGAATGCATCTTGCTTGTTAGCTCTTTACCAACTGACTTTCCTGTTTGATGTAGTAGTCTGGCAAATGTACTGGCCACAAAGGGTCAACAAACCGAACAAGACATTCACACAGAATCGCAAGTCTACCCGCATTTCGCCACAGTGTAAGTTCCATATACCTGGCTGTCCTCCCGGACATTTTGTCCGCTATTCAGCGTTGGCCAGATAAGTCTCATCAAAATGAGTATCAGAACATTTTAGATACCGTAACATCCTTAAATCTTTCCCACTTAATATAAGTGAACCGCTATCAAACTGAGCACAGCAATCTTAGCACAAGCATAACAATACGTGTAAGCTGTTTGGAGCGACGGTGATTTTTGTACAGAGTTCAGTTTGTTTCCAGAAAAGCTAAAGAAAGCTGGCTTATTTGCTCGTTTTATGGCAGACGATCCATTATCTGAGATTGCTAAAAATAACTTTATTCCAGAGAATTTTTATGGAATCCTCGAAACACAAGGAATATAGTTTTATTTTTCTTTGTTGTCACAAGTTTCCGCTCCCAGATTTTAAGTGAGGAGAAATTGCTGCGGATGAAAACAAAGATGACAAGCAAATCTTTAGTCTGGGATTGTTTTTTACTAATAAATCATACATTTTTCGACAGGCGTCAGAAACAGATAGAATTAGTGTGTAAAATGCGGATTCGAAGAATCGATAATCGATGTACCAGAGTCTCAGGTGTTTTAACTCATTGTTAGGGAAATTTGTGAGATTTGATTACTTCCAGTTGAAGTCAAGCTCAAATGTATTTATTACATCAGCTGTTCAAATAATTGAGGAAAAAAGCAAAGATGACCACAGAAACTGGAAAACAGCCTAAGTGAGCCAAAGAATCAATATCTTTTAAAGTTTTGTTCTTCTTACTCCCTTACTGAAATTAGTTAGAGGATCAAAAAACTTTAAATTCTTACGAGCGGTATTCCTCGCTATGATAACACAAGATTCTGTTCAACGAACCTTCACTGTCAAACACCCGAAGGATAATATTACACAACCTGAAATGAAGAGCAACTTCAAACAATGTCTCCCAGGGAGCCCTTCGTGAATAACCATAATATATGTGCCGGATTGAATTTTCAAGCCAGTAGGCCATTACGATGAACCAGATAAGAAATCGATGGTGCAGATTGTTAGAGTAATTTTAGGGAACACCGAATTTGAGAGCAACTTTCTGTCTGACTTGTGGATGTGTACGCAATCTTTTCAAATGTGAAACGAATTTGACTCCAGTAGGTTGGTTTATCATCAGGATTTTTTACAAAAAATTGGTTGGAGCACTACAAAAACAGACTTTGAGCAGGTGAATCAACATTTTTGGAAAATTTATTTTCCTGAAATGTAAACGGCTTCAAAAGTCTACCGATTTGATGGATTAGCCAAGTGTTTACTTATTCGATGTAGGAGAAGGTTTTGTCAAACGAACAGTAACATTTGCATGGAATACAGAGGAACCAGAATAACCTAATTCTGAAGCCTGATACTGGGCCCACGCGGTTATCCTACACACAAAAATCCCACATGGCCAGAATTAACAAATTTTTGGCCGACACATCCCAGAGCAAGACAACATGGAGATGGTGCTCACGCAAATCATTCAGTATATATTCCCATTTCCAAGACAGAGTTTGGTGTGATCTGTCACAACCTTTCCCCACGTCTCCACCTCATGGACTTACTAACTCATCACTTGAATGCAACCATCCGTCCATTTTAGCCAGATTATTTCATCAACCTACTAGATGGATGGAATACATCTCACAAAATCACCAGATATTTCCCAATAAACACGGTATGAACAGCAGTTGTGAACTTTTATACTCCCTAGAAAGTGTTGGTATTTTCAGAAAATCATTCACTTCTGGTAAAGTCGCGCGTTACCATTGTCCTGATAAAAGAATATGTGACCTTTTTATCTGCAGTCTCACCAATATATCGATATACTTCCCAACAGCACTCCGAGAGCTTTCATTCCGCCGTATACTGAGAATGCTTTTCAAATCCAATCCACCACAAAACTCTTCGTCAAATAGTCAATCGCCTCGCTTTCGCTAGCGCTCAACACATCTGCAAATACTATCCAAAGAGACTAAAATCACAGAGATTAAACTGGGGCCATAAAAGTTAATCGCAGAGAGCCCCTCCTCTGCACTCAGAAGCATCTAAGAGTTACTTTGAGAGTTTCAGTTTTAATGATGCTTGATTTTTTGCTGATAGCTGTACCACACAATTCGCACTATGCATTTTCAGACTTTTTATGGCTGTGATTGAACACAGGAAATTCATTAAGGGTGTTTGTTCGAGTTCAAAGTCAATACGAACTCTGTTTCAGCGTAGAGTTTTGTACCATTTGACAGAGGCATGACAGGCTTTGGAACCCACAATAATCCTTATTGGTTCAGGAATACCGGTTATACGAGTCACTTGAAGGTCAGGTAAACGATGCTCCTGCAGCTAACAAAACTTGTTTGAGTGAGACTTTATCACTTACAAAAGCCCGGGAATCCGAAAACGTAACTCAGGATTTTGTGGTGGAATAATTTTGTAATATACCAAAGAAACATGCTCACCAGCAAGATTATTCGGTTTTGGCGGGAGACCCGATAAAAGCCCACATTTTTTGTATTCACCATCAACACTGTTTTGTTTAGCAGACAGGCAGTCGCGGCCAGTTGTGCACAATTTGGCGTTCACTCATACGGTAGCGTGGAACACGCCCAATTGATGAGCCTCCAGAAAGGTAAAACTTTTGGCGAGCCGTCCAAAGTTTTCAGTAACCGCTCAGGCCACGAGAATGCTTTCCTTGTCTTTGAACCTAGGTTGGCTTGCCAGCAATATTCCGCGAACCTCCTTAACAATGTTGTAACTCATTTGACCCTGTGAACTACTGATTCCATTATTTCTTCTGTTCCACATATGCATCTCTGAAATTGCGTAACTGTAAACGAGATTTCTTTTGAGTACCATATTAAGTCACTGTATCACTCAGGAGAGTCAATAACAAAAATCAAGCTTCGGACGTTACGCTAATGAATTAGCTTGTGAATGAATTTTTTTATGAATTCCATGTAAGGCGCACAAATAAATTGATGTATGAGTTTTTGCGGTTGTATCACATTGTTTGTTGTGTACGTATCTTTCGCGAGTGATTTCATGTTAGAAGGAACTTCGATTGGGACGTCAGTGACAAGGCCAGTGTAACTGAAACAAAACAACTACGGATGTAACAAGAGTGGCAAATTTGAGTTTGCAATATCAACGCCAAGTTCAGTGATGCCCGTGGATCAAGAATACTGGGGATACTTTGGGGCTGCTCTGATCGTTTTTCGGAAGGTCTCCCATTCGCAACTATTATATCGGTTTTTAATAGACTGAACACTGAAACATTGTAGCTCGAGCACAGATTCACTCAAAATTCTAGCGTGCGTTATAGTAATGTTGTAGAAAAGTAAAGCTTTATTCCCCATTGGTTAACAGATCACTCATATTTATCACATATATGTCATGTATATCATACAGCACTTTTTGTATCCCTTACAATGCGTTTCACAATCTAATTCACTCTAACCCATTGTCAAAATAACGTCTTCTAACACTAAAGGCCTCTCAAGATCCAAAATCTACAAGTCTGATTGGAAAACAAGTGAAGAATCAAGTTAATATGTTTTATGGATGGACATACAGTATCCCTTAGAGTTGAGTTCTTTCCTTACCATAGCCTGCTCACTAGAATTGGCGAATGTCCTTCCATGCGTGGTATACCTTACCATAGTCTTTACTTTTGCATCAGAAGCTTGAATCATATAAATACACAATATCCTGTACAGTATACAACTTCTAATCAATTCCCGTGGAAAGACTAACGTAACGCAGCTTTCTCATGTAAAACCGATTTGATATATGTACTTCACGTGTTTTGAACCGCGCACTGTGTAGAGTCTATTCAGATCTAAATTCTTCTAAGAGTCAAAATTTTAAAAAAGCAATAGCAATACCAAGACAATCGAAGAATGTATATGAGTGAAGCATGTCTCGCTATATCATGAACCTTTGGGCTGCGGAACAACCCGATATTTTAAATAAAAGCGTAAAAATGCGCAGTCACTATCTTCTGGTGACAAAGTATGCAGCTCATTCTTCGATAAATGGAAGTTTATCAAGCTTTTTCATTGAGGCCATACATTCACGCGTAGATTACGTAATTTTTCAGGTTGACTGCTTGAAACCGCTGAGATCTAAAATTTAACGGCAATCAGACGATTTGCTTATGTGCATAGATTATAAAAGATGTTATTGAAATTTAAGTGTGAATTTGCGGTCCTAAAAGCTGGTTGCTTTAAGGTGATGGACTCCAAATTTCTCACTTTCCCGAAATAAATATAGTTAAAAATAATTCTTCCATATTGTTTCCATCCCGTCCTACTTCAGATGACCCGGAAAGTCATCGTGAATCTTGGAGGGATTGCGCAATAGAAGAAGCTTCCCTGTGGTCAGAATGCATCAGAAAACCGGACCAGCTGGTGTCCGCCACGCTCCCTTTGCACAAAATATTTCGCTAATACCCAAGGATAAACCGGTGGTGGATCTTCTGGTCTATTGCACAGACCACGTGGCATTTTCCTGACTACTTCAAAGGCTGAAGTTTTTCCATTCTAAAAGTTAATTAATCGTCAACACACTATTCCAGATTCATTAAATTTGATGTAAATCAGTCTACCATGGTAATAATGTACCGAGGCTCACCTCAAACTCTTGGCCACTAATGAATACGCACTAATATTGACCTCTATTTTTTGTGTACATTATGGGAATATTTATATGATGGTATCGAAACACGACGGTATGTGTTAAACGTTTGGCAAAGTGTTTTCTTGCTATCATGATATTTCTTAATTTTCAACTGAGATTCGTCATGCAAGTGCGGCCAGTCATAGCTAAAAAGCCCAACAGCAATGTATAACTATTCCATCCTTATTGGGAATCACTAGCAGTGCACATCTCAAAGAGCTCCATGGGAATTCTAAACCACAACATCGTGGATTGTGGTTTGAACAGTTAGAAAAGATGTCATCACTAAAATTTTTGGATACAGATATTACATAGGTTGCCCGAGTCTACAACCCAAATCCAAATCTTAGATCCGGGCTAGATCCCGTTGAGCTATATTTATGGATGACTGCAATCACGTGGGCGCCAACTCGATAACCGAATTCTTCGCCCTAATAACTGGATGGCTACTACCGCACAAAGACCTCTTCTTCATCGTTCACAGTAAACTGGGTGTGGCGAGATGCCCTGAGGACGAAAACAGCAGTGCTACACTGCTTCAGCTTCGACTGCACCTGAGATCTATAAGGTTTGGAGAATCTGGAAAACAACTAATGTAGTGCTTGCTGACCTAGGATGAACTAGGATCCTAAGAATTGACGCTACCACAGACCACACAAACCTCTGCTTGTTTGGAAATGACCAGAGGGAGCAACAGTCCTGGGAAAACTGACGCGTTATTGCGTCGGCGTCCAGCCTAACAAATGTATCTGAAGAGCAATATGAAATAAATGAAAATTGCCACTTTTATTGCGCATCTCGAATTCATGTCTAGCACGTACAGAAAACAAATTCACGTCAGTATATATTCATTTTGCTATCCGCCAAAGTAAATCGTTACTTCGCAGAACCGACTGCGTAGCAAATGAAAGTGATTAAGGTCATCTTTGGAAGGTGGATTTTAAACGTCGAGGATTGGTATTTCTGTCAATGATCTAACTAGACTTCTTAGATACTTTATGCTAGTACATCCATTTTTCAACACGAGTTCGGTATTCATATGGCTCACTGCTGAATCAACAGTGTAACTAATCTTTCTTATCAGCACATTCTGAGCAGCTTCGACAAACCTCAGTACACATACCACAAACATCTGAACTAGGGATATGCGAATGAATTCCACCAAAGTTAAGCTAGCCTATCTAAAATCGCGGCGTAGGATAAACACATAAAATGTGGAGTTTGAGTACTACTTTCACTTTCAAATCACCTACGGATAAAAATCATTGCAAATGTGCTTGGTTTTTTCCCAAGTGTTGAGGTGGTTTAGTCCATGCAATCGTTATTAATCATTATATCTGATCGGTGTTAATCACGAAAACTATTTTGAATTTGACTGCCATTGAACGCAATGATAGTCGGTGTAAATTTAAGTTTTGAAATGAAAAAGTAAAATCCCACTGAAAGTTTTCGACTACGGATTTGGAGTCACACATTGTATATAGGTCACTGTTTAGGTTTAGAGTGAGTCAGCGATGCTAAAATACTCGTTATTGTTCACGGATAACCAGCTGTCAAAAACATTTTCTGTGGTACGTTGAAAAACATCTGGTTACATCCGGCCAGAATTTTGTATGTTGCTTTCAGTTAATTCAGCTCGGCATTTTGCCCTAAAAACTAGACACATTTAGAAATGCCATTCGTTTGAAATCGAGAAAGTATTGTTACCAGAATTTCAGGTACTGATGGTTTGGCAAAAGGCACAATATATGCTCTATAGTGCTCTCTAGTCTCAAATCGCGTAAGCACCTAGATTACGAACTAAAGTATATTGATTGCGATGTATTACAAAAGCCGTTTGTGTCTAACTACCATGTTCAATGCAAAAATCAAAAATTTTTGTGATCAAAGTTCTTGAGTGACAAGCAGATAAAGTTACCAGATCCACATTTGCACGTTAAGGTTTTTGCTGCCTGATTCCATGTGGCACGAGCTCTTTGATAGTCTGATTTTTTCGCCACTGGACTTACGAATAATCAGACAGAGGAGGACATCCTACAATTGAGAAGCGAAGGTAATAAGCGTGATACTGGTTAGAACTACCTTCAACGAGCATCCATGAAATATTGACATAAATTTTATTCGCAGCCTTCGGTTCGGTGTGTAAATTGTGTACCATTTTAAGCACATTATTATTCCAATAAAAGACCTGTCGCCGCGGTTCACATAATTGACGTTGAAATCCACTGCCGTAGATGTCTTGGCACAGTTTCCGCCTACCCAGGAGCAGAATCCCATTCGAGGAAATAATATCTGTGACAAAGTAGGTATTTTTCGTTGCATCATCGATTCTCATGCAACCAAACGGTACAAAGCTAGGGTAATGAGTTACCAGGGACCTGGTTTTGCCAAACTGCTGTATTTCATCGACTAAATTCGATTGCCGTTCTGGTGAACGATCGCCTGACCTTAACTGGTTGAACTAGGTAGACCGCTGTCCAAACTAAGACGTAATAATATTTGATCGGATTCGAACTCCGGTTTGTGAAGAAAGGAATACCCCGCGGGACGTATCGGATACACTTTGCGTACAGAAAATAGTTTTGGGAATTCGGTTCAACAATAACAAATGCTTCTTCCTTAACAGCACAGCTTTCTCCTTTAGCTAATCATAGTTTCGTGAAACATTTTGGCATGATGGCATAAGAAAGGCTTCTCGGGTTTATGGAATCAACGGTCGCAGAGTTCGCTCTTGACATAGGTGGGACAGTTGTTTCCTGAACACGACTTCTTGGGACCTCAAAACAATTGCTCTGATGAATGACTTCAGAAGCTTCCTTTTGCATCTAATAAATGGTCAAGCTTAGAATATGACTATTCTGAGGCCTCCGTCTTAAGCAGGGCAGCATCTAGCCTCATGAAATTTTTTCAGTGGAGCAGATCCGTATTCCAAACTGACCAAGCCTCGTTGGATTGCAAAGAACGCTACTATGTGTTCAAAAGTTGTAGGTTATCGGCTGTGAAAGTGAAGATGAATTGCTTAGCCCACCCGCAGTTGGCATCAGGGGTAAAGTTCCATTCCCAACGTCACCTACAAACCTGGAGTAACGCCCACGGATGTCGATTAATTAATACCATGATTTGCGACCTACTTCTGCTCTCGATTATTCTTGCCATCATTTGGGCGCTTTTCAGTAGACTTTAGGATGGAAAGTTGTGCTACCCCTCGAATACCGGGTTATTCTGATTTACTTTTTCTCGGTTTGCTCAGGACTGTTGCTCAGCCTTGTCGCCAAGTTTAGATCGTTCTCCAGAACGTCACAGAGCTTTCAAGAGCCCTCGATTTTCTGTTTTTATTCCCGCGTGGGTCCACCTTAGGGGGACTGTTCATCATTTACTTGTTCTACTAAACAAAGGTAAATCTATATGTTTCTCCTCTACATAAAATACTCCTCAACCAACATCAATGTTTGCTTGGATAATACAACGGAGGTAATGTAGAAAGGCAATGCTATTGTGATAATTGGTCAAATATAAACCGTTTCAGTGAACCACAGTCAATAGGAAGCTAAGTTTGTGGATACAGTCAAAGCCTTTGGGATCGTACAAATGGTCAACGTTTAAAATAGTATCAATTAGTAAAAACACTCATTTTCAAACCGATCTGTTTTTTCGGGAGACTCACATAGAGCCCGGCTGAATCTCCCGTGACGTTGACAAGAACTCGGGTACTGTGGCTACCTGACGAGTCCCAAGAACAGCAAAACCACTCGTGGCCTATCAAAGTTCTCAGCAACCATTTTAGTAGTGTATCTCGTCTATACAAGTGTAAGTTGCTGATCATTGATTGAAGTGGTGTGAAATGTGAGTTCTGTTGAATTTCGTGTTGCACAGCAATTCATATCGCCCGAAATTAAGACGTTTCAGCAGGCGTTGATCGAGAGAAGAATAAAAGGAAAGTAGTGGTGATTCCACTCAGAATACATTACCGAAAACACCATGATGTCTCATCAACTGAAGACGGCCTTTACCAAGAACCAACTAGTCCACACCGAAGCGTTGTCACAGCCGTGAACCATTAACTGGTGAGGATAATCTCGTGTAGGTTGTTGTGAATGTGAAGGCCTTGAACCTGCTAAAACAGTTTGTAAGTGTCTGACGTCTGATTTCCGGACAGGCGGTCCGGTCTCATCTGTTCCCTTATATTTTGTTTTTGAATAATGGACCAGTCTAATTCTCATACGAATGCAGGTCACCTGTGGCAAACTGCACCTGACCTACTAATTAAATTCCAAGCCGAGATCTCAAACATACTCATGCTGCGAGACGTACACGCAAATTCCAGGACGTTCGTGGCTTTCACACCACTCACTCTGTACTGTCTAGTTCTCAGCTTGCCTGCCTGCATCAAGTATATCCTTTTCAGTGATCATGTCCTAGGATTGATAATAGTCGCTGGTGCCTAAAAACATGCTGAGTCGCCATGCACGGCGTCAGTGTCAGACCCTGGATGCTATCGTAGACAACATGAAAACTCAGGGACCCATCATCACTCTTCATTGTTAGGGGCAAAGTTTTCAGCTGTTGTGCGGTAACACAAAACAAATCTAGACAAAGCAGTACCGAGAGGGACGTTTTGGATACTTAGAGTCCAGCATGCAGAATATATGCAAACTAAACCTGTGCTACTGATAGATCTAGGAAGGCGCAGAGCGGCATAACAGCGTTTCTTTACACCGTCGTCAGATGCACAGTATCTCAGTATCTGTCTCAGGAGTCACCACTTGTTAACCTCGTTAGCTTGCAGATGACTGATCTTATAAGCGCAGGCTAGCGTGAATCGAACAATTGTATCACATACGGAACTTTGTGTGAACACTTATTTCTTAACGTCATTACGGTACATTGTGGAGGTTCACTTATCTGTAAATTCGGACACGTATTTCTTCTCATGCTTTGCCATTTGAGAGTATGGTGGAGTTCACATAGTCAAGAAAACCTAATTGGAGTGGTGGGTGTTTGTCGGTAATAAGGACTGATA